GATCCCATCGGAGTACCTGACAGTCCGTAGCTCCATCTCTGTAATTACTGTTTTCCTTCAGGTTTTCTCACTAGTTGGTTCCTAATCCACTTCTGTATAGTTCCTTTGAAAGCTCAGGGCTCCAGGATTATCTTCTATGTATCTGTCAACTGGTTTTTCTTTTCTCTTTTGAAGAGGGTCTGTGTTGCTTATCTTACTACTCTTCCATCTTACCAAAGTTCTTCCTCTAATTACTTTTTCTATTATAGAAAAATACATATAACATTTGCCATTTTAACCACTTTTAAATATAAACAGTGACAGTAATTACATTCACCAGATTGTGCAATTATCACTACTGTCCTTTTTCAAATGTTTTTAATCTCCCTAAATAGAAACTATGAATCTGTGGGTGGTACAAAATGGTTAAGTATTTGGCTACTAACTAAAAGGTTGGTTGTTTGAATCCACCTAGAGGCATCTCTTAGGAGCTCTGGTAGCAGAGTGGCTAAAGCACTTGACTGCTAACCAGAAGGCTGGCGGTTCAAACCCACCAGCCACTCCTCGGAAGGAAGGTTGGGCAATCCTACTTCCGTAGTAATAATGCCTCAGAAACCCAAGGAGGGGTCGCTATGAGTCGGGGCCGACTCGACGGCACATAACAACAACAACAACAACAACAACAACAACAACAACAGAGGCACCTCAGAAGAAGGTCCTGTCCTGGTCATCTACGTTTATTAAATCACAGCCACTGATATACTATGGAGCACACTTCTACTCTAAAACACATGAAAAACCCTAAAACATCATGAGTCAGAATTGACTTCACGGCAACTGGTTTAAACAGAAACTCAGTGGCCTTTAAGTATTAACTCCACTGCCCTCATTCCCAGTCCCTGGTAACCACTAATGGGCTTTTTTATCTCTTTATATTTGCCTATTTTAAGTATTTCAGATAAGTGGGGTCATACAGTATTTATCTCTTTGTGTCTGACTTACAGCACTCAGTAATGTTTTCAAGGTTCATCCATGTCATAGCATGAATCAGAACTTCATTTCTCCTTATGGTTGAATAATATTTCACTGTATGGATATACCACATTTTATGTATTCATTCATAAGGGACACTTCGGTTTTGTCTACTATTTACCTATAGTAAATAAAGCTGCAATGAACATTTGTATACACGTATCTGTTTGAGTCCCCATTTTCAAGTCTTTTGGTTATATACCTAGGAGTGGTATTTCCAGATCATATAGTAATTCTAAGTTTAATTTTTAGAGGAATGATGGTGCAGTAGTTAGGCACTTAGCTGCTACACAAAAGGTAGGCATTTTAAAACCACTAGCTGCTCCATGGGAGAAAGATTTGGCAATCTGCTTCTGTAAAGATTACAGCCTTAGAAACAATCTATGGGGCAGTTCTATTCTGTCCTACAAGATAGCTGTGGGTCAGAATCAAATCTACAGCAACAGATTTTTGTTCTTTTTAAATGATTATTCTATGGTTTATAATATGCATTTTTAATTTATCACAGCCTGTCTTCAAATAATGTACCACTTCACATACAAAAAGGAGCTCTGGTAGCATAGTGCCTAAGGCATTTGACTGCTAACCAGAAGGCTGGTGGTTCAAACCCACTAGCCACTCTTTGGAAGGAAGGATGGACAATCTACTTCCGCAATGATACTGCCTCGGAAACCCAAGGAGGGGTCACTAAGAGTCAGATTCAACTTCACGACAGTGAGTTTGGTTTGGTTATATATAAGAACCTTACATTAGTATACTTCCATTTCCCTCACTCCTCCTTTGCCTGTTATCACACTTTCTTCTAAATATTGATATAAACCACTGTAACAGTAAATTATCTTTAAAGAATTTTTAAAAATTGAAGAAAAATATCTTTTATATTATTCACATATTTACCATTTCAGGTGCTCTTTATTCCTTTGTGCTGAGTAAAATTTGTACCAGGTATCATATTCTTTTAGCTTAAAGAATGTCCTTTAACCTTTCTTATACTGCAGCTTTGCTGGCAATGAATTCTCTCAGTGTCTGTTTGTCTGAATATGTCTATTTTGTCCTCATTTCCAAAAGGTACTTACACTGGATAAAAAATCTTAGACTGAGTGTTTTTCCTTCAACATTTTAAAGTTGTGTTCCACTGTCTTTTAGCTTGTACTGTTTCTCATAAGAACTCTCATGTCACTTAACTTTTCTTACATGTAATCTTTCCCCCTCTTTGGCTGCTTTTAAGACTTTTTAATACTGCTTCTTAACTATAAAGAGCTCTTTTGGCATAGTGGTTTGAGTTTTTAACTATATAATTATGAGGTACGTTGGTATAGCTTTCCTTTGTGTTTAACCGGCTCCAGAGTTCATTGAGCTTTTGGATCTATAGGTATTTAGTTTACATCAAATGTGGAATCTTATAGACCATTAATATTTCAAATATTCTTTTCTGCTCACCCTCACCCCTTTTCTAGGACTCTAATCACAGACACATTTGAACACTTAATATTTTTCCAGTTAACTGAAGCTCTGGTCACTTTTTTTTACCCATTCTTTTCTCCTTTCCATGCTTCAGTTAATTTCTATTATTTTTACCTTCAAATTTATTGATTGTATTCCTTTCCTAGCACTGTCAGAAAAACAGTACTATGAACTAGGTAGCTTAAAGCAACAGAAATTTATTGTCTCATAGTTCTGGAGACTAGAAGTCTAAAATCAAGGTATTGGCAGGGCCATGCACTCTCTGAATGCCCTTGTTCAGAAGATGCCACTTGCCTTTCTCTCAGCTTCTGGTGTTGCCAGCAATCCTTGACTTATAATACATCACTACAATCTATAGTGTTCTCCCTGGCCTGTGTCTTTTCTTATAATAAAGACATCAGTCATACTGGATTAGGAGCTCACTTTGCTCCAATATGACCTTATTTTAAACTTAACTAATTACACCTACAATGGCCCTGTTCTCAAATAAGATCACATTCTGAGGTCCCAGGAAGGATATGAATTTTGGCTGGTATTATTTAACTCAGTATACAGACTTCCAAAGTATACCTGATACTCAACATATTCAATGACTTTTTCATTTCAAAAACTGTATTTTTAATCATTAGTTCCATTTGAATCCTTTATATATAGATTGTCAATTTCCCTTCATGTTTTTCCTCTGAATGCTTGAGTGTACTTATAATTGCTGCTTTAACATCTTTGTTTGCTTATTCCATCAACTCTGTCATTTCTGTGTCTTTTTTCTTTGACTGTTTTTACTCTTAGTTATGAGTCATATTTTTCTGCTTCTTGGAATATCTATTAATTCTTGACTAGATGCTGAACATTATAAATGTTACATTATTGAGTATCTGGATTTTGTTATGTTTTAAAAAACACTGAATTTTGTTTGAATGATAGTTACTTGCAAATCAGCTGCATACGCTCAATGCTTAAACAAGACATTCACTTACATACTTGTACTCCACTAATAAACAAGATACATACACATGCTTACCTACACGTTCACTCACAAAATGACAAACTCATGCCCACCACACTCACATTCACACAATTTAACTCACATGCTCAAGCATCACACACATTCTCACTCACGTACTCATACACATTCACATTATCTCTTCATACATCACACCCCCACACACTACCACACATAACCAAACATTCAAACTCACTTTAAAGCACACATGCTTACATGTCACACACTCTCACAAGCTCACACACTCATATGCTACACACATCTCACACATGCTCACACTACATATCTTCATTCAGTCATACAAATAACATTCACATGCTCACACATTTACTCATACACCCTGCTTGCTCATTTATACACATCACTCATGTTAACACACACCACAAAATCTAAAACACACTCATACACACAACACATATACATACCTGACAGACACTCATAATCACACCAACTGACATGTTCACATTCACACCTTACTCACATGCAGTCACTCACATGCTCACACATTCATATGCTCACATTCACACTCACTCACAATCATGCTCATACACATTCACATGCTCACATCACCCATATTCACACAACTCACTCGTAGACACTCATGAACACTCACATAAACCACATATACATACATGCTCACTCATACACTCTCACTCACACAAACCACTCACAGAAATACACACAATACACACACACTCAAACATGTAATCATATACTCACACATGTAATCACACACTCACACAAATCAATCACACTCTCAGAAACACTACACACTCATACATACCACACACACACACACACTCACATATACTCCCACCTTTCACACGTCTATCTTCAGGCAGTGTTCCACCCCTGTTCACAGCTGCTAGTGTCTGTGGCAGGCCTAAGGCATGTCATATACCCTTCCATGTCTCTGTCATGTGCTCACAGGGAGAGGGAGCCATGATCAGAGAATGAACTTCAGCTAGACAAATCATCACCCATTTCACAGTGGCCATAATAGGGCCACCCTGGGATTCAGGACCACATAAAATTGTCAGTGCTCTGTGTTTTAAACGTAACAGTAAAACGCTATGTGGGTGGGGAGGATGATTAACCAATGGGTCTACCCTCCAGCCCCAAACATTTCAATATGGAAGCACATAAAGTCAGAGTTATCTAGCATATTCCAATTTCAGACTTAAACTGTGGAGAGATTTGAAGTTTCAACCTAGAGACAGGGACTGTGGGTCCACCTGCCCAGGTTCCAGCTCCAGCTTGGTTACTCAATCTCTCATATAAAGCCATAGCCAAGCACTCCCAGGGCTACCCAGAGCTAGACTTGCAAACAGAAGAGTTAATGAGGGCTTGCATCTCCTGGACAGGAGAAATAATAGGAAGGAGACAATGGCGTTCTGAATATGGGGAAGCCTATGGACAAAGCTGGCTCCTTGAGATCTTCCTTTTATATATTCTCTGGCAGAGGCATCCAGAACACTCCACAAGCAATCCAGAGGAGAGGAAAAAAGCAGGCAATACTCACCGGTTAGTGGAGCCGTTATAGCAGTAATTGGGCAGGAAGTCATAGTTAAGCTCCCAGAAGACATGGAGAGTGATTCTTCCATAGGGGGCTGACACATTGTGATTGGCTTCACGGAACATGGCATCAAAGCTGTCCAGTGTCAGGTACTTGCTCAGCAGCTTGTGAGTCATGCGGTTTATTTCTAAGAGGCCATCCAACTCCTAAAGCACCAAAGGAGACAGAGGTTTGAGAACAGAGCTGATGCAGAGGGCAAAAAGAGGGTTTGTTGAGGTCCAATGGCACAGCTCCAGCCTCCTGCACAGGCAGAGACAGTGCCCTCATGGGTGCATGGTGGGGGCACATTCAGATGCTGGCTGTGGATAGGGGATGGCACTGAGAGGCATAATGATGGAACTGGTTTGTCTGCAGGCCTATGCCAAGAGTACACAGGACAAGGTTACATTAGGTGAACTAGCTTACTTCTTATACCTGAATTCATCACACCTCCCTGGCAGCCAGCCCTTGGCTGTCTCATCTGGGCTGTTATCCTTTCTTCACAGCAGCCATCTCTGTACTGCCTATTACCCTCCCACAGAAGAGGAGTCCACTCCAACAAAGCAGCCCCAATGGGCCATACCCTCACCTCACAACATGCTCAAGCTGTCACAGCACCTCTTCCCTACCCCTCAGTGTGCCCACATTCCAAGCTCCTCTCAACATCCTTGCCCTGGTACCACTCTTTCTCTGGGAGGCCTGCTACTTGGCCTACTCTGCCTCTCCTCGTAGCCTTGAGACGCAGCAACTCACAAATATTCATACCAGTCTCTGAATTGTATTGGTCTGTTCCCTAGAGCTTACATACCCTTTTGCCCCCTTACCTATCGAAGCCCCTGTGCAGGGTACCTCAACATATAATTTTGTGGTGGAATGAGTTCCTTTATGTGGCCTTTAGCCTTGGTTCTTTGAAAAACAGTTTAGGATTTTTTTTCCCTAAACCCTTTGCCCTATCTTTAGAGAAGCAACTTAGAAAATCTCCAAGTTGCTTTCTGCCCTAGAAAATTTGTTGGTTTTGCTCAGGAGAGGAGCTGGTCTCTGCCTGCAGAAAATATTACTTTTGTGTAAGACCGGAGTTGACTAACATCTCACAGGTAATTGAGAATTGGCTGACCTCTGGTCTGGTGAGGGAAGCCCCACCTTGTAACTGATGAGGACTAGTGCATATGGAATACTGAAATCAGAGTTTCTCAAAGCTTTTTGGTTGGCAGGAACTAGGAGTGTGCTCTTTGGGACACAGAAGCCCCTCCCCAGCCTGGTTAAAAAAAAAAAAAGAAATAAAGAAAGAAAGCTATAGCTAAGGAAGCTGGCAGCTAAAAGCTAAGTTCAGAGAGAGAGTCAGTTGGGACCAGAGTGATCCTGAACCTCCTATTACTGGGTATGAGATGAACTAGTCAGCTACAGTGAATTATCTGAGGTCTTGATGAAGAACTATCCTAGCAGTGAGCATTTCTGGTCCAAGAGCTATCCTATAAAGCTGTTCTGGTTGATAAATTGCATCTTGTCTTCTGAATTGTTTTTGTTACTTCTTGTAGAACCTGATCTGAGTTACAGCTTGTTATTTCCCTAATAAACTACAAAGCTATGAACATAGTCTGTGACTTCTGTGTTGCCACTGTAACAAATTATCAAACCTAGTAGAGTGCCAAGGGAGAACTGGCTGGTATCTGAAATGGTGCAGAAGTTGGAAAGCTGAGGTATGTCTGACCTCCACCTCACAGAAACTAACTTTCTGCTGATCCTGATTCTTACCCCTCCTGAATTTAGACAATTATGCTTAAAGCTTTACATGAAAGAATAAATGAATGGCCTGGAATTAGTTCTCAAAATAAATAATTTGACACTGCCTTTCATCCCAAACTGCTTGTCCTCTTGCTCTAGCACAGGGGCAACATTTACACTTGGAAGCTGGTACAGTGGTCAGGCTGAGGAACCACTCTCCCGGCCATGGAGTTATGTTTCTCCATGGGGGCTCCCAGGCCATCTGTCTGAGCCCTAGATTTTCTTTTCCATTCAAGTTTGTGAGCAAGACAGTCAGCTTAGACTCAGGCCCAAAGACAATCCCGGCATGTTGCACATACAGCTCACTATACACCTACTGCACTGCGCAACCATACAAAGAGGTGGGCTGGGTAGGCTTATGGGCAACCCACTGAGGCTCACTGAGATACACTGAAATATTACATTTGTGTAAATATTACTTTTGAGGTCACACCTGGTCATGATACACTTATAGGGCCTGGGTAAGGATGGGGCAGAACAAGGCCCACAAATGACCCCCCAAAGGACCATATGAATAGGGAATGAAAATGATGCATACCCCCATTGCTCAGGGATAGAACACATGCCATCAAGGAGACAGGTGGGTCTCTACTAGGCTGCAGAGAAGCCAGAAGACCCTGGGAAAATATGACACACTGAATTCAAGTTTCCTATGTGCCAAAGGAGATGGTAAGCCAGACAGATAGGCCTCAAAGTTCACATGTAACAAGAACGGCCTAGTGAACTTGAAAACAATGAGAATTCCCAGACCAGAAGGGGCTCTGGTGGTGCAATGGTTGAGGCACTTGGCCGATAACCAACAGGTTAGTGGTTCAAATCCATCAGCTGTTCCATGAGAGAAAGATGAGGCAGTATGCTTCTGTAAAGGTTAACAGCCTTGGAAACCCTATGGGGAAGTTTAGCTCTGTACTACAGCATCACTATGAGTCAGAATCAACTCAATGTCAGTGGAATTTTTTGGGTTTATCCCAGACCAAGTGCATCAGAACATCCAGGGGAAGAGCTCAAAAGCACACCTTCTGGTGATTCTTGGTGATAGGAAAGTCTAATGAACACTAAGCTGTCTCTAAATTAACACATTCTATGTTAAAACTACTTTTTGTCTGCTTATGTTAGGTTTGAAGTCAGTGGTTATTGAGTGGCAGAATTCTCATCTTCCATGGGGGAGACTGGGTTCAGTTCCCAGACAATGTACCTTATACATACAGCTACTATCCATCAATGGAGGCCTGCATGTAGCTATGATGTTGAATAGTTCCAGACTAAGATAGACTAGGAAGAAATCTACTTCCAAAAATCAGTCAATTAAAACTCTGAATCACAATGATCTGAGCAACAACTGATCAAGGGATCAGAACAGGACCGAGCAGCATGTTGTTCAGGTGTGCACAGTCTCCACAAGTTAGCACCAACCTGATAGCAACTAATGTAAAAACATTAGGTTTTATGAGAGCTGCATGAAGATATGCTGATTGAAATACATTTTCTTGAACCAAGTAGGCCATAACAGACATTTACTATTTTAGCTTTATAAAAAATTAATTTTTTATGTGTTTTAAAATGCAAATCAAAACAACAATGAGATACCATCTTGCTCCAGCACTAGTAGCAAAGTTCAACAAGACAGAAAATAACAAATGCTGGCGAGGTTGT